TTCTTGTACTGAGGCAAGATTGAATTAGAGGCCAAAGGCCATCTGCTTCCTTGTTTTATATATATATATTTTTTGGGGGGGGCTACCCAAAAAAACCCTGGAAAAGAAAGCTTCACTGGGCAGAACTTTATTTTTTGGGGGGGAGGGGAGGAGCTTTCATAGTACGAATTTTTTCCCACTAGGTGAGCATCAAGCAACTCACTCTGAGTTAGTGCACCCAGTGGCATCACCTGGAAAGGTTCTCCCTGGTGACAGTAAATTTTTTTTCGTAAAATCAGTTTGGCTTAAACCATGTTTTTTGGGATGGCTGATTTGAGAGAACAGAGCACAGCTGTGAAACTTTGTTTTCTGCTAGGAAAAAATGCCTCAGAAGCTGTTGTGATGTTGAACCAGTTTATAAGGACAGTGTTATGGGAGAAACTCAAGTGTATGAGTGGTTTCCTCATTTCATAAAAGGTGAAATGTCGATTGATGACAAGCCTTGTTCTGGATGTCTGTCAACTTCCCGAATGTTTGAAAATGTTGACTCTTCGTACATTTAGAGTTCGTTCCCCAAGGCCAGACTGCCAATCAAGCTTTCTATTTAGAGGTTCTCAAAAGATTATGTAACAACATGCAACAAAAAAAGACCTGATTTTTTTTTTTTTTAAAAAGGCCTGATTTGTGGCAGATGGTTTTGCCACCAGGACAATGCACCTGCTTCCAAAGCTATCTCAGTGCATCGGTTTTTGGCAAAAAACAGCATGCCTCTTTTGCTCCATGCACTTTACTCACCTGACCTCGCTCTGTGCGACTTCTTTTTGTTTCTGCAAATGGAGATGTTGTCAAATCGCTGTCCTTTCATGTCCCTCTTCCTTCATGGAAACAAAAAGAAGTCACTCACATGGAGTGAGGTCAGGTGAGTCAGGTGCGAAAGGCAAGAGAGACATGCTGTTTTTTGCCAAAACCAGTGCACTGAGATGGCTGTGTGAGCAGGTGCATTGTCATGATGGTAAAATCAGTCCCCTGTCTGCCACAAATCAGGTCTTTTTGGTTGAACAATGTTATGTAATCTTTTCAGAACCTCTAAATAGGAAGCTTAATTAACAGTCTAACCTGGTGGAATGAACTCCAAAGGCACCAACCCCTTACATCAAAAAACAAATGAGCATTAGGTTGTGTTGGGTTGTTTTTTGGGGGGTATCTCCTAGTATACTTTTGCTGTGTGCCAGTACATTGATTCGGACACATACTAACCCCATAAGACAGAGCAGATTTGCTCCATAGCATTTCCAAGGCTTTCATATCTATGGAAACACACTGCCCCATCTTTTCTTCCTGCAGAGCTGCTGGTGGGTTCAAACTGCTGACCTTTTAATTAGCAGTAAGTGCTTGCTTAACCACTGCACCACGGGCGCTCCTTTGAGGTGGCATAAGCACAGTGGAAAGTATGATAGGGGTCGCTCACCTGTGTTGAGCACAAACCCCATGTCAGGGGCCATACTAGGCACTTTCCCTGTAGTCAGTCCCGTCCTCCTCACATCAGTTCCGTGATCGAGGCACTACTGTTATAGGAACAAAAATGAGTCCCTGCCCCGAGATCACACAGCAAGTGCGAAGCCAGGGTAGAATGACTTGGTGCCGTTGGAGACTGGAACCGACATTTGAAATTACACGATAGAAATTAATATAGCCCCGCCACATTGTCAGTGGTGAATCCGTGGATCTCCCCCTCAATGATCTCTCCTAATCCTATACAATGGTGCTGATACATTGATAGAGAAAAGTCTGTAAAAAGCTTCTATCAACTGTCAACTGCAATGGAAATAAAGGCAAAAGCTATTTGCCATTGAGTTGATTCGAACTCATGGCAATTCCGTGTGTGTCAGAATAGAGCTGTGATCCATAAGGTTTTTAATGGCTGAGTTTTCAGAAGTAAATCACCTGGCCTTTCTTCTGAGGCACCTCTGGGTGGACTTGACCCTCCAACCTTCCAACTGGCAGCTAAGTGCACTAACCACTGGCACCAACCAGGGACACTATGAGAATACAAGGCATTTATTTCCAACAGAGCTGTGTTGAGATAAAATTCACCCATGCTAGGTAATTCACCCATTAAAAGAATACATTCTGTATATTCACAGAGTTATGCAACAATCACCACAATTGATTTTAGAGCATTTCCATCGGCCTAAAAAGAAGCCCTATAGCCATAATTCTCCCATGTACCCATGATTCATCTTCATCCCATTGAGCATGAGCTCACTACCATTGAGCATGCAGACTCATAGTGACCACAAAGGACAGAGCAGAACTGTACCTGTGAATTTCTGAGACTGTAATTGTTTATGAGAGCCGAAAGTTTGGTCTTTCTCTCACAGAGCTGCTGGTGGTTTCGAACTGTGGACCTTGCAGATCGCAGCCCAATGCATAACCACTACACCAGCAGGACTCCCACTTCATCAAACACTACTCTCTTTCTGTTGCTATGGGTTTGCTTACCATGAATATTCCATTTGAATTGCATCGGATTTTATGTAGTACAGAAAGACCTTGGTGGTCAAACTCAATTCATTCCCTCGAACACCAAAAAGTTCGAGAACTAAACATATATTTCCTATAAGAAATGATGGAAAACCAAATAATTGGTTCTGAGGTCCAAAAATTACACTTACAAATTCACTGGGGGGGGGGGCGCGTTCAGCCTCCTTGCACATCACTGTCTCGGCCATGCTGTCACCATCACATCGTTTCTGATTTATCCAAATGAACAGTCACGTTCAACCTCCACGGTGGTCTGGGGTCTGTTTTGCAGCTTTTTCACACCTTTCGCTACTTTAGCTGCTTTAATCACATTTTCTTAAATGTTGATCATGTAAACTTAGCCATGTTGTATTCAGCTGCCAAATCAGACAAGCATTGACCTGATTCAAATGTCTCAATGATTTCTTTCTCTAACGTTGTTGCGCTTCTCCGTGTTTCCTTCTTAGTTTTACTGCTGGTATCACTCACTTTCTTTAGAGTCAGGGATACAATATTTTATGCAAATAAAGCACATACAAAAGAACACAATGCCAAATGCTTTAATGCACTAACCGAGTTGCCTGAGTGAAAACGGTGCTTAGACAGAAGCGTCACCCCTTTGTGTCCGTGGTAAGACGCAGTACATGACACACTCTCGCCCGGACACGTTTTTTTCAAGTGGGATTTTCGGTTCACTAGGGAGCAGAGCTACGAACACTGAGCAGGTTGTTTTCAAATGTTGCTGTTCAAGTAGTGGAAAGTTTGAGCGAAGAGCCCTTGGGCATCCTGGATTGTGTGACCCGAGGTGTCACTGTATTTTGTGACCTGCTTCTTTCACTTACAATGTTTTCAAGGCCCCTCTGTGCTGTAGCAGGTATCAGGCCACCATTCCTTTTCATTCCCGAATAGTATGTCGTAAATAATCTATGTGCTTCATAGAATGTTAGAATTGGAAAGAACTTTAGAGACCGAACCTAAGCCCTTTCCTTTTACGGATCAGGAGGAGACCACAAGGGCTTAAAGAGCCTAGCCAGGCTCACTCAACAATATGGTGGCAGGGCCAACCCTTAAGTTTATACCTTTCCACTTTGCCCCATGTTACTTTACTCCACAAAATATCCTTGGAAATCCAATTCAACATTTACAGCTCATCGGGGTGGGCCGATAGAAATGTCTTTGTAAATATTAGGTAAAATCAGCTTGTCCTCCAAGAGGACTTGGGTAGCCACTGGTCCCTGGTCCCAATTTCACTCCTACTGGAAATGATGGTTATGACAATCCACTGCCCAACGAAATGGTCCAAAAAGAACTCTGATTCCCAAATGTGAACCATCAAGGCTTCTTTCTTCAGGGATGCCCTGGGATGAATGAACCAAGGCATGCTAATTATCACAGAGCCATGGAATGCCAATGATAAATCCAGCTCTTTCCTTGGGAGTATTAGTCCTTGTAAATACAGAGCATGCAACCAGCTCAGTAGTGTGGCTCATGGGCCTTGCTTTCAATCTCAACGTTTCTCAACTTCAGCTCTACTGGCAACAGGGGGGCGGGGGGGTTGAGCACTTCACTATTAGGGCTGTCCTGTACATTATAGGGTGTGTGGCGGCCAGTATTGCTGCCCTCTCCTTCCCTGTTGTAACAACCAACTCTATCTCCGGGTAACAAAAGCAGCCTCAGTTGAGACCTATTAGTCTCAGCCTCTTGTCTTAGAAGCCAGCGTTTTCTCCTAACCTTGTACCCAATCTCTTAAAGAGTCTCCCCAGTGCCTACACATCTTGAGCCATAAAAATGTGCCCTGGAGCAAACCCAAAACAAAACCCAAACAGATTTAGGATGGCCAGCTGTTGCCCAGTCTGTGACACCAGTGGAGAGCCCGGTGATGGGGCCCAGGGAAGTGAGTGCCATTTCCTCTGTGATTTTTATCCTCTGGGAACAGAGAGGGAGTCCCGGGCTGGTGCAAATCGTCGGCATGCTCAGCTGCGAACCCAAACACTGGAGCTTCAAGTCCACCCAAAGGCACCAGGAAGAAAGACCTGGTGGTTTACCTCCCCGCCCCCCACCCCCACCACCACATACACACAATCAGCCATTGGAAACCCTGTGGAGCCCAGAGCACAGTTCTTTTCTGACCCACATGGGGTTGCCATGAGCCGGAGTCGACTCCACAGCAAACCTGGTGGTTTTCACAGAGAGGGAGAGAGGAGCCAGGCTGCGAGAGAGAGGGTGCAGGGAGGTTTTATAACGAACAGGGTGGACACCGGGCGAGCCTACATCGTCTCTCTTCCACCTTTCAAGAACATCATCCCCAACGGAGAGCTTTCTTTGGAGGGCAAAGAAAAAGGAACTGTTTCTCTCTGTTTTGATGAATTTGAGGCTCATTCTCAAGGTCTCCGTGAAATGAATGAGCATAACTTTCCATGCTAACTGTCCTGGCTGCCGGGTCCTATCGGCAAAAGCCTCGTGTTTATTGACTTTTGTCCCTGTTATTTTCATTTCAGTTCAGCTGAAGCTCGTTGCCGAAAGCGTGGGGGTGGTGTATATAAAGAGCATCAAGACCGGCCAGTACTTGGCCATGAACCCCGACGGGCTTTTATACGGCTCCGTAAGTATGAGGCTCACCTGTTTCCAGACACAGCCAAGGTTTGAGGTTTCCAGAAACCCCGCTCCACTGAGCGGTGCGAACTCTCAAGCAACAATTACTTTCTGTTTGGGATTTTGTTTTGTTTTTCTTTTCCAGTAAGGCACCAACATTTTAAAACTGGTAATGCATTTCAGTATTTTTGAGAGGCGACCAGTATTATGTGCCATTATTATTTCGGTACTCTCTCAAAATACTTAAATGTACTGCCATACACACAGTGAAGAAAATTGTATTAAACTTTTAGTATTTCAATAACACCTTATTGGACAACGCCTAGTCCAACTTCCTTCCTTCATAGGAAAATGATCTCTTGAGCATCTACTCTATGCCAGGGGCTGTACGCACCACAGACACCCCTGCCTTCATGCCGCTTACACGTAGGACAAATTCATCGTTTTAATATATTTGATGAACAGGAAATGCCCTGCTTCTTTTACTGCCCAGTGAGATAATAACTGGGCCATGGCACAATGGTGAAACATTTGGCTGCTCACTGAAGAGCTGGCAGTTCAAACCCACCCTGGCAGTTCTGCAGAAGAAAGGCATTGCCGCCTGGTCCCCTACAAATCACTATCTAGAAACCCTCTGGGAAGTTCTACTTTGTCACGTGGGCTCATGAGGAATCGAAACCGACTGGACAGCACCTAACAACAGTAACGGTACAAGACACTGTAGGTCATCTTGGAGCAAGGTGGACTATGCTGCTTTCAAGAGGAATGGTCTAGACATTAGGGCTTGAGGCATGCTGTCATGAGTGGGAGGCAGAGTTCTTTTTAACACGCTCTAGGGCAGGGGTCCGCAAACTATGCGGCCCGCTGAGGATATTTATCCAGGCCGCCGGGTGTTTTTGCCCCATTTTGTTTTTTACTTCAAAATAAGATATGTGCAGTGTGCATAGGAATTTGTTCATAGTTTTTTTTTTAAAGCTATAGTCCAGCCCTCTAACGGGTCTGAGGGACAGTGAATTGGCCCCCTGTTTAAAAAGTTTGAGGACCCCTGCTCTAGGGTGCTGTCAGGTAAGTATGGGACTGCTCAGCACAAGGTCAGACGATCAAACCTCTGAGCCACTCCTTGGGAGAAAGTTGAGGCTGTTTGTGCCCCTAAAGATTTACAGACTTGGAAACCCTTTATTGGGTCACAATGAATAAGAATTAATTCAAAGGCAATGGGTTTAATACTTCTTGGTTACCATAGGTGAATCTAAGCTTTTTATCCAAATTGTAGAGCCCAGTAATTTATGTCATGCATAAAACAGAAAATAGCCTCCCTTGCTCTAGACACCAAACTGAGAATCCCAACCCACAGCCCTGCAGTCCATGTGGACTCATTAGTTTTCTAGAAGAGTACCCTAAAAAGATGAAAAGCTTGATCCCTCGAGCCAGTCAATGTTTACCAAATGTCCCTTACGTCTAAGCACTGTGTTCGGTCTTAAAGGGACTGCAAAGACGAATGACCCACGCCCCTGCCCTGGAACAGTTGTTTGTCTAGTTGTTTGTTCAGTAGCCACAGCGCTCCACATCTTTGGCCCTTGCTCTCTCACAGTTAACGCTTTACCCAGGTTCCACTCGGCATATACAAGTCTGTCTGAGAGAACAGAAATAGAGATTACCTGATTCTGCCCCTCTTGCTAGCTTTCATATAAGATTTAACCATAAAGGGAGCTGAAACCAAAGGCACCACAGTTGTGATATTATTTTTGGATTTCAACTTTCCCTTCCCTCTATCCTAACAGCTGGGAATTAAGTCTGGGCTGCGATTCACAGTCAAACTCAAGTTCCTCCCTTTCATGGCAGTGTCAACAAAATGGCAGCTAGCGGAGGGATTTCATCTGGGAGAAACCCCTTCAACGTTCTTAGATTGTCAAATGGCCCATCCAAGGCATAACAACTGGTCTCAATTTACCTGGAACCAAAAAAGGAAGAGAGTCAGAAAATAGGAACAAAATATGGAATGTGTAGCTAATTACCTCCACAAACAACTTATTCTTTGCCAACAGCCCAGAAGAACTGGAGGGTGCCCGGTTACCATAGCTAAACATTTCAGTCAAGGATTTGATCAAGGATTCTTCTATAGAATCCTGCTCAGAATGGGGGGAATGCAGAAGAGAAGTTCAGATTCTCATGAATTCCTGACTCTCTGGAGCCATGGAGTCTGGATGAACCCCGGAAACTATTACCCTGAGATCATCTACAACCCGTAAACCAAAGATACGGCCAGAATCCATCTTGAAACCAAACAACAGTTGAGCTAAACTAGTAGCAAAGGCCTGCCTCCAGTATCATGCTCTTTGAAGAACCTTCCAGACGGAATCAAGTTGACAACGGCAACCAGAAAGAATGCACAGGGACCGTAGGGGCCAGAGGGCTTGCGCGAATGGGGAAGAACCACGCAGGAAGGCGAGATGGCGCACAACTTGAAGAATGGTTGTACTTGGAAAAAGCATCGTTGAATTGATGTGTGCTTTGCTGTGTACATTCTCACCAACAGTAACAACAAAATACTTTTTTTTTTTTTAATTGCCAAGTGATAGTGGCAAAGGAAACCCTTACTGAAACTGTAATCCCAGCTGAGGTTTGGGATATGAACATCATTCTTTTTTTCCCCAAATCATTTTATTGGGGGCTCATACAACTCTTATCACAATCCACACATACATCAATTATATAAAGCACATTTGTACATTCGTTACCCTCATCATTCTCAAAACATTTGCTCTCCACGTAAGCCCCTGGCATCAGCTCCTCATTTTTCCCCCTCCTCCCCCGCTCC